CCCTAGCTCACTCCCAACTCAATCACCACCCGGGAACTAAAGGAAAGGAAATGCAGCTTTGAGATAAAGTAACCATTGTATCTACATTTACAGATCACTAGCATGGGCCAAAAGAGCCAGAATGATTTGTCTGCATAGCATTTTTTTAACCAAAGATTCCAGAAAGTTGATTAAAAACAAAGAAACAAAAAAACCCTGGGTCCAGATCACGTTCTGTACACTGTTGGTAGACCCAGGGAACTGGCAATATTTTCCTATTCATCATTTTCCCAGAGGTGGTGGGAAAACAAATTGTGTGGTCAAAAACATAGCTTAAGAAATAAAACCTGGCAGTTTTTTTTTTTACAAAGGTGGGTTTTTTTCTGTTTTTGCTGGAAATTGAAATTTTGGGAACCCATGAATAGTTTCAGTGAAGAAAAAACTGGAGGAAATAATGTTTAAAAATAAAACTTCTCAATTTCTTTCCTGTTTTGGCACTTTTGTTTTCAAATTGACCTTAATTGGAAAAAAAAAAAAGACAAAAAGATTAAAGGAGGGGTTTTTTTGCTCCCTTAAGGATCAAGCAACTTTGAAAGCAAAACAGAATGTTTCAGTCCTATATGGAAATTTCCATGTGGTTTCATTTTGCTAAAAAAAAAATTATATTTTGGTTTAACTAGACCCTTCTTGATAGCGGAACCAAAAATCTATTATTCATCCAGCTCTACTCAGAAGGTGATCACAGATATGAAAGGATCTGAACCATTCACTGAAAGGCTGAACTAAGCATCTACATTAAACAATAGTTGGGGGAGACTGTGGGAGAGAAAATGGCAGCGTAGGTCTTTCCTGGTAGGGGGTGTATACTTGAGTGAAAATAACCAACATGTCAATAAACTACATTGAGGTGCACCACTCAAGAGGATGAGTCAGTGGTCTTTACATGACTGTTTTTCTGTTCATAGGAGGAAGTGGTTTAGTGAAATGTGGTTACTGTAATCCTCTTTTTGCCTACACAGCATCTAAATTGCAATGCTTTAGATCTATGAAGTTGGAGGGGAAAGAACAGAGGTGGGTAGGGTATGCACTATCATCCCCCATCTTGGAAATAGAGAGCCTGTGGTACAGAGATACTGAAGTGAATACAAGTCAGTAGGATATCCAAGGATGATCTGACCACAGAAAAGCAATTCCACATGACAATCGCAGAGCGTTTTTTGGTTTGTTTTCCAGGCACTACAATATTTTAATAACTCAGATCACATGGCTAAGTTAAAAATAACTAAGTCACCAGAAAAGTCACCCTTCCATTAAAATTGTATCCGAAAGGAAGAGAGTAAGTTTCAGAGTACTTACAGGTCCTATACTTTCCAGTAGCCTTCTTCTCCAAAAAAAGAGCAACCAAATAAATGCCACTTTAATATGATTAAACATCCCAGTTTGGTTTGAGATGCATTCACTCCCGCTGTTAATTATGAGGTTCTAAATAGTGTTTGGCAAAATGAAGTTCAGACTCTAAAGTCATGCTGCAGATTTAAAAAAGATTCATTTACACCATTTCATGTATGAAGACAAATAGTAAATTTTCATGTATTGTAAGAATGTGCCCAGTACATCAGCATGTGGAGCTTCCTCAGTAGAACAACTGGAGAACTCCCTGTTATATGTGATATGACAACACATAAATGTAAATTCAAACATGTACTACTTTGCAGAAGCTGCTTTGCAGCTGTTGTCCAGGACAAACTGTTGAAGCTCACTCAGAAATAATAAGCTCCTGTACAGCAGCAGATGTGTATGTATGTCTTTGTGTAGAAAAAACAGAGAAGGCTTAATGGAATTTACTCGTTGGAAGAATAGACAACTCATTGCACTTAGGATCTGACTATCAAGAACACATTTGCTTTTTGGGAGGAAAGCAAAATTGAAAAATTTTGCAATTCAGTTTCATGTAATGAAATTGCAAACTTTCATTAGCAGAAATCTACTGCTGACAAGACTTTAAACTTGACCCATTTTAACTTGTAGGTTATCACTGTAATGCTGTACCTGCTAATAAAATTCAGAAAAAATATTTGGGATATATTCAGGTTACTTTGACATGAAAAAAATCACTGTATTCCTGATTTATTTCAAAGAGGTCCCAGAAGAATTTGTGTTAATTAAGTCCCAAACACATTTTTTTAAAAAAGAAATAAAAACCTAGCTGAAGAAAATTATTATTTATTTTAAAATGAGAGATTAACTGGTTTAGATCCATGAACCATTTTTATTCATTTCTTATTCTAGCAAAGAAAAATTGAGACAAATCATTGGATCTAAGAACTTGGGTTTTTTTTCCGTTTAAAAAATTGTAAAACGTGTAAGCTTTTCTGTCTGGGAAACCTTTTATTCTTTGTGTTTTGATTGCTACTAAGTCTGATTCTCAATTTATGTGCACAGCAGAAATCAGTTATACTACCATGCTACTGCATATCACTTTTATCCACAACTTTTTACTGTGATCATTTCTCAAAATAAAGCAACGAATGACTTGCACAAACATTTCATCCTTGTGAAGATTCCAAAGTGATCTCCCCAGCCGTTGTGTTGGCAATACCTTCTGTTTGTCCTATGAAA